ATTGCTTGTGATTCGCTTTTCTTTTCACCTACTATTGGGTTGGATGACTTGTCCACCTTGATACTATCTATAACTTATTTTTCTATTTCCATTATTAAAAAAGTTTATTGTTTCTTTACTAAAATGAAAAAAAATTGGTATTTTATTCAGAATCTCTTAATGCGAAAGGAGATTATCACTGCTTACGTAAAGTATGGTTATCAATTCGATGAAATCCTTACCAAATCATTAGTGGAGTCCATCTTTAGTAACCTTTGTTCTAAGGTGGATATTTTTTTCCTCTATGCTCTAGATTGAGTGGGAGCGGGAACACTCCCCCGCCCCCACTCAAATGTTCTCCCAATCTTAAATGTTACCCATTTGAATCTTAAATGTTACCCACCTAATATTGAGAGAAAATCTTTAACATTTAAGATTCAAATGCTCCAACTGTTATTTGGTGCTAATACGAATTCACCTTCTCTCAATCTTAAATGTTACCCACCTAATAGTTGGGCAAGTTTTCTCCATTTGCAAAGTTGCTCTTAAAGTACTTTCTGACAAAGTGTAAGTTTCTGACATAAATAGGGAAGCCTCGTATCTTATTCTAAATCTTCGTCAGTGGTTTGCTTCCCAACTTTTATCGGGAGAACATTAACCACAACTGCTTCTTTGAATTATTACTTAGACATGAGGGAACTGATAGTAGTATTCTTTTTTCTTTTTAGATATGGATATTTTGTGTATTTAAGATGAATCTTTGTGGTTATGTATAATCTGGGGTATGGTAGTTTAACCTAATGCACAACCCTTAAAATTATTTCACCCCGTCTATATTTTCTCTCCCTCTCTTTCTTCTCATTTTCTCTAGAGATTAAACTACTAGAGTATAACTTAGCGCTAGAGCACCTGTCGAAATCTAAAGCATAAAAAAATCATTGGAATCAGTTGGGCAAACATTACTTATATGCTTATGTCAGAATCCCGCTTGTCGGCATCAACATTGACTTGATCAGATTTGGTCGAAAAAACTACAGTTTGAACCGCCTCCATTTATTAGAAATTATGGTTATTTTTTCAGATTTTCTTAAAGTCGTTTGACTGGTTTTTTCCTAATTTTTTAATGTTGTCGAATTCAAGCCAGTAGGACATTAATATAGGCTGCTTTGAGCACTTAGGCTGTTTATTTTGGTCCGAGTCTTCAGTACAAGCTGCAGCTAGGGCNCAAATTCAAGCCAGTAGGACCTTAATATAGGCAGCTTTGAGCACTTAGGCTGTTTATTTTGGTCCGAGTCTTCAGTACAAGCTGCAGCTAGGGCCAATAAGAAATGCCCAGTGGGTTTTGTTGGAATTAGATTGGATTTCTCAAGTGTTCTTGTCGGANCGAATTCAAGCCAGTAGGACATTAATATAGGCTGCTTTGAGCACTTAGGCTGTTTATTTTGGTCCGAGTCTTCAGTACAAGCTGCAGCTAGGGCCAATAAGAAATGCCCAGTGGGTTTTGTTGGAATTAGATTGGATTTCTCAAGTGTTCTTGTCGGATTTTGGATAGGCCGTTTGGGGTGTTAAAATCTTGTGAAGGACTTTTTTGGGTATTGTATTTGTTGGCCATTTATCTACTGTGAGAATTACCATTTTTGACTCTATGTCCATTGTATGGACATACCAAACGATATTATGACTTCTACCAGTAAAGGAGGAATTGGATTGAGTTGTCTAGAGGCTCTTGCAAATAACCCCACCCTTAAATCAAACACCTAGTACATATTTATTGTTAAGGGTGGCAATGTTGACAAGTTTACGCTAAAGTGTGATTAGTGAATTAGTAAGAAGACTAGGCACAACTGGGAGTTTTGTTAGAGGTTGAATGGATGTCCTACTAGTGGGTGCAGTGGTGGCCAAGGTGGTATTGTACGGTTCCATACACATATAGCTGAGTCATCAGACTCCATCTTACTCTTGTGAGAAAACCTCTACTACTTTTTCTAAGAATGAGGTGCAAAATCAAAGGTGTTTGATGCTCAATGAGTCATCAGACATTCTATCTCAATCTNTGTATGGACATACCAAACGATATTATGACTTCTACCAGTAAAGGAGGAATTGGATTGAGTTGTGTAGAGGCTCTTGCAAATAACCCCACCCTTAAATCAAACACCCAGTACATATCTATTGTTAAGGGTGGCAATGTTGACAAGTTTACGCTAAAGTGTGATTAGTGAATTAGTAAGAAGACTAGGCACAACTGGGAGTTTTGTCAGAGGTTGAATGGATGTCCTACTAGTGGGTGCAGTGGTGGCCAAGGTGGTATTGTACGGTTCCATGCACATATAGCTGAGTCATCAGACTCCATCTTACTCTTGTGACAAAACCTCTACTACTTTTTCTAAGAATGAGGTGCAAAATCAAAGGTGTTTGATGCTNTCAGAGGTTGAATGGATGTCCTACTAGTGGGTGCAGTGGTGGCCAAGGTGGTATTGTACGGTTCCATACACATATAGCTGAGTCATCAGACTCCATCTTACTCTTGTGAGAAAACCTCTACTACTTTTTCTAAGAATGAGGTGCAAAATCAAAGGTGTTTGATGCTCAATGAGTCATCAGACATTCTATCTCAATCTAGTAGCAACACCGCAACTACTTTTTCACAAGTGCAATCTAGACTTTTAGACGTCTAATGATTCCGATATTTCATCTAGTATAGCTTCTAATCGTGCTTTTTCTTTTCAATCTTGCTCACAATTATTTCTACTTCTGGATCTAGTATACAATCCTTGTATACTTCTTGGATAATAGATTTTGTAGTTACTATGTAATAGGTTCTTCTAAACTTTTCTCTTACTTTACATGTTCTGTTAGGGATAAAGTTTGAAAAAGCATATGGATCATTGTCCTCAGTTTCTTGAAAAAGTTCAATTAATTGCTCTTCATCCTTATCCCTCTCATATGTACTTCATGTCTCTAATTTCTCTACTAATTTATTGTCTATTATTATAGTTGCATGCTCTTTGAATTTGTTGAAATATAAATACTTAAGTTATACCTTTTCCAACAACTTAAACTTTTAAAATAGATAGTTGTTTACAATGGTATCAGAAAAAGAGGTTTTGTGTTCGACTCTCGCTGCCATGCTAATTATTAAAAAATTTTCACATGCTACGTGAATAAATTACATCTTCTTGAACAACTTAAACTTTTAGAGTAGATGGTTGTTTAACAGAATTGTTCAGTGACATTTTTCCCTAGTCATTTCATTTTTCAAAAATAGAAAATAGAAAAAACAATTGGTAGTAGTAGAGCACATGATAGCTCATATATTTTGAACGTTGAAGCTTCTCCTCATTCTAGGGGTCATGCTGTTCAAGTAGATGGTGTTTCACATTTTCAACTCTTATACTAGTGGCACAGATTTTGGGTCATCCTTCTTTTGGTATTTTTAGAAAAAAACAATTCCCTAGTTTAGTAAGATAGAGTAATAGAAACACTTTGGTCTATGACCCTGTGAATTTGAAACACTTTTGTCTATGACACTTGTCTATTCCTTGTTATTACTTATCCAATGGGTATTGTAAAGTCTGTTCGTGCATGATTCTCAAACCTCTCATCTTGAAGTTGTTTATTGTATACTGAGGTATCTCAATCAGCTCCAAGAAAGGGAATCTTGTGTTCCAATTATGGTCGCTTGTAGGCTTGTAGCTAAAAGCATTTAGTGATGTATGATGGGTATGCTCGGTGGATGACAGACAATCTACATCAGATTACTGTACATTGATAGATGGGAACTCTCACTTGACGAAATAAGAAACTGGCAATAGTAGTCAAGTCTCGTGCAGAGATACAAGCAATGCTTCATGCAATTTTTCAAGTTCTTCAGCTTATGTGGCTCAATACATTATTGGGAGACCTAGGAATTCACGATAATGGGCCTCTAAGACAATATTGTGATAGTAAAGACAATATTAACATTGTTATAATCTAGTAGGTCTTTATTTAACAAAAATTGAATAATGGTTTGATATTCATGTCAATTGCCAAATTAGAAGACCAATTGAATGTTCTCACTGAGGGGCTTAGCAGCATGATTTTGCACCCCATTGTTTGCGAGTTGAGCATGAGAATATTTGTATAGCAACTTCAGAAAGAGTATTATTTTATGCTNTTAACAAAAATTGAATAATGGTTTGATATTCATGTCAATTGCCAAATTAGAAGACCAATTGAATGTTCTCACTAAGGGGCTTAGCAGCATGATTTTGCACCCCATTGTTTGTGAGTTGAGCATGAGAATATTTGTATAGCAACTTCAGAAAGAGTATTATTTTATGCTTTCTTTTAGTTAGGGGGGTATTCTTGTACTTTAGATAACTCCTTGTGTTTTCATATGATCTGGATGTGGTAGTGTAAACTAAGACACTAGCCTTCGTAAAATATGTTCTTGACCTTCTTGACAATCTAACTTGTTCTAAATAGGGAGTTCTATGGTGGCAACAATTACTNGTACTTTAGATAACTCCTTGTGTTTTCATATGATCTGGGTGTGGTAGTGTAAACTAAGACACTAGCCTTCGTAAAATATCTTCTTGATCTTCTTGACAATCTAACTTGTTCTAAATAGGGAGTTCTATGGTGGCAACAATTACTTACCTACTATAATGCTTTTACTGTTTTGCATTTGTAGATATAGTTGGGCTAGAATTCCTCAAAAACCTTGGACTCATTGTTAGTAGCACAGGAATTGAAATCATTATTTCCACAACGTGTTTCATGGGAAAACTATCACCCCTTTTTCTGTGACATGAAGCAATGGCAACAAAAGAGGAATATAAATTAAATTGCCTAATGAATTTTTTTGTTAGGTGACTTAGACTAGTAATCTTTGCATTTGTGGTCTTTTAGAAGGTATAGGAGAATCTGGCATTAATTGACTGGAATATCAGGGCAGTATGTCTGTTTTTTGGTCTGCACAAGGCTACAAAACTCAACTGGCTGACTTCCTTGGTTTCAATAATTTGACATCCTTCCTACAACAGTGGAGCTAAGGCGGGTATGAGATTGGAACATGGCCATATCCCTTTGCAACCCCCATTAGTATCACCCACACAGTCAAATTGATTAGCACAGTGGTCAAAGGGCTAACATAGGGGCCCACTGTTCTCCGTCTTCATTCGTTCATTCATTTCCAAGACCTCTGTGTGACAAGGACCGTCCCTAATTTATTTCATGTCCTCTAGCCTTTGTTTTAATTTCTCTTCCTCAGTGAGTTGTAAACAGATAAGAGGCACAAATCAGGAACGACACACAAATGATAAACATCGTGTTGCAGAAACAAGTGCATATAGAAATATATATGGACCAACTAAAATGAGGTGTAAGAATCACAAAGAATATCATGTATAATTCAAACAATGTTAAGTAAACGCAAGTATATGACATTGACACAGCCCTGCCAATTACATGAAATGTGATTAACATGGATTTATAAAGAGTAATTAATTCTAACAAGATAAAATTAATTTGTTGATCATAAATTTCAGGAAAATTTCACTTTAAAGTGAATGAGTCATACCGTTGTTTCAATAATAACGGCAACTAGATTCATAATGAGAATGAAGATTACAATGTATTCAAACTTGCCGCTGCGAACAAAGTCTTTCAACTTTTCAGATAAGGGTGCATGGTAGAATGTTGGAAATGTTTCGAACCAGGAAGGCTGCAAACAGAAAGAATAGTAGAACTACCATTTATTACTCTAGTAAAAAATTGACCATGCCATTGTTTAGGCCTCAGTTTAAGGGAAGTTCGACTTACTGAATCCTCCTTTTGAAATCTTAATCCAATGGCATTGCAAAGATCAGAAAATTCATCCAAATTGATCTACATTTGAACAGGACATAGTCCAGTAAATGTCCAGAAACAAAGGATTCAGGAAAATATGATCAGTTAGTATATCATAAAGCTACAGACTTCTTCTGACAAAAGTAGGAAGTGATTATTTAAACAAACGCACAAACAGCAAGATTTTTTTCAATCTTTGAAAAGAAGGGGGAGGGGGTTTGGGTTGAATTCAAACAGGCAAGAAGTGCACCAGAAAATAAAAGAAAGCAATGGGATACATATGGCAAGGTACAAGCATAAACATAGTGTACGAATATTAAAATACCAATACCCAGATGCATTAAACAGAAACAAGTTTCACTAGTAAGGTAACCAAGCAACACAGAAACTTACCCGAGCTCAATAAAAGCTTGGAACCAAGCTATGCTTCACATTTTAACGTAGTAAACTAATTGTGGAAATTGAATGTAGGCAACTGACAATAAAATTATATCTTTTTAAATCAAGATGAAAGCATATTTGGCTTTATTCTCATAAGTTAGTGTCAAGGGAATGACTAAATAATTTAAAAAATACAATAATAAAGATATAAATGAACCACCCCAACAGAGCACCATATCATCTACACCTCTAGGTTGCCCAAAAAAAATTGTCTTGCTTTGAAAAGCAACCTGAAAGGGTCAAACTCCAAAAACATTAATAAAAGATCAAAGGTAACAGAATTTGGTAACCAAGTAAGTCAAGTATGGCAATTCCAGTAAATTAATCAGCAGAACTCCAAAATAAGAAATCATACCCTGCTCGCCTGGGTAATTGAGCAGGCAAGAAATAGAGACTACAAAAGGCGAGGCAAAGGACAATCCATCTCAAGGAAAACTGAGTCTAGAATGAAACAAGCCAATAAAGAGTGGGGTAAGGGATTGAATTCAGCCTACCAATGTCTCCATCGCTGAAACATAAAGCAGCCACATAGTGGATTTTTTTTAGAAAAATGTTACTTCCTTTTATTAGAGTAAAGGAAGGTTGACAAGGGTAATGTCCCGAAACAAAAGGGTCACCTGGTCATGATAACCATGTAGGCTTGTCTCTTGGTATTCCCAGCTCATAAAATAAGTGAGCTCATGTGATCTCATGCAAAAACATCACTAAAGCATGGTGGCCGTTGAGTCGTCGACTTGCAAATTGTTTCTTTCACATCTGAGTTCAAAATTTTTAAGCTCAATAAATAAATTTCCAGTAATTGGTTGAGGTACCGAGGAGATATGGTTTTATGGGTGATTTAAAGTACTTTTTCAAGAACAATGGAAGAAAGAATGGAAGGATAATAAAGAGTAAGGAAGCTAGACATGTTTTAGGGCTTGCAGTTCAATATTGAGTAAGTGTGTTGGTGTGTACTTAACTCTCTTAACCACATTAAATATTGTTGGGCAATTTACTTTATCCCCTACGATTTATTCTTATTAAACTTCACTTCTCCATGGTTCAAATATAACCACATAACCCTCGTTTGATCAACTTAGACAGTTGACTCCATTAATAGTGCTGGAAAAATGACTATATACCCCATATATAATGTTGGATCTGCAGTATAGGGCAACCAATACAACATAGATCGTGGATCGATTTGATACATAGTACAGGTATGAGGTACGATACGATACCATCTCCGATACGCCGTGCGATGAGGGTAGACTTAGTTGGTATCAAGGAACGAAATATTGTGTCGAAATGTCCGAAATGTTTCGGAATTTCAACACACCNTGGATCGTGGATCGATTTGATACATAGTACAGGTATGCGGTACGATACGATACCATCTCCGATACGCCATGCGATGAGGGTAGACTTAGTTGGTATCAAGGAACGAAATATTGTGTCGAAACGTCCGAAATGTTTCGGAATTTCAACACACCGATACGAAACAAGGGTTGAATCCCAAAATTCCAATGTTTTGGCCGAAACGTCAATGTGTCGGACCGTTTCGGTCGAAACAGTACTGCTTCACTCCTGGCCAAAAGGAAAAAAAAACTCTGAAAAAGCTGAATTTCTGGTACTTGGTGATATGTGTGGCCCATCCTCTATATTCCTTCAGAGTTCTAATAGATTCCTCTCAACTGTGGACAAAGGGAGGGATCAATTTCTCTTTCCATTTTTTATCTAAACTGCTCTTGTTGGGTGTGCTTCTTGCAAAGAGTGCTTGTATCTCACATTGAATAATTAGGACTACCCAATATTGATTTATGTACTTGTGGGGCCACGGTGTTAAAACATCCAACCCAAATTGACAACGGGTGGAGTGAACCCTCGAGTACATAAACCAACCTTGAGTGGTTCTAATTATTCGATGTGGAATATAAGCTCTCTTTACACTTCTAGCCGAGATAACAACTGATATCACAGCTTGATACCCAATACCTGGTACTAGAGCTTCTTAGTACTCCAAAAAAAAACTAAACAAGGCTAGGATGGCAACACCTGCAACTGAAATATCAGCCGCCAGCAAGGGCTTAAACCAGTTAACAAAACCACTAGAATACAAAGCCTTACTGCTATTTCACACGCAAAGCAAATACTCAACTAACAGCTTGTCCACTGCCACGAAATGGTAAAATAAGATAATTATGTAACATACATTATGCATATAAGTGCAGGCAAACATGTTTAGATCAGAACAAACACTGACAACCTCAAAAGAAGAACTCTAGAAGTATAAAGTGTCAGAAAGTGTGTTAGTTCTCGATATATCATGCTGAAGGGCATTTTCCAACTTGGATATACAAGTCTGAATTGGTGTAAGAGTTTAAGGGAGATAAACCCAATTACTTTCTCTCTTTCCATAATCTCTCCTTCCTTTCTTCCGTAGTTTTCATACATTAAAATCAGATAAAACCTAGTATGGTGACTAAATAGGATGACCCAAAGTAGAAAAATATATGCTCCCTGGTAAGTGTAACAAAGGACGTCAAAATTTGTTCCAACTAAATGCTTGAATAAATAGGAACATACCGTGAAATCGTTACTGTCATCCAACTCAGCAAATATTAAATCAAAATCTTCTCTTGATGTTTTTGGCAAAGTCCTGCACATACCAGTAGTAAAGCTATGCTTTAGTATTCACAAACTCAATGCCACCACCAAGCAGTAAGAGTAGGAAAGATTTGAAAATAAAATAAGTCAAGGAAGCAAGGGAATCAATCACGTTCATGAAAACTAAAGATAAAATACAGGAACTAGTGAGTCCATTTCAGAAATACATCTAAACATCCATAACTAGAACTTGAAACCAATCCAATTGGAGGGTTTTAATAAAAGATTAAAGATGGGACACTTCCATCCCATGAAGTGTTTTATAAGCCTCAATGCATAAGGTGTAAGCCCTTTGGTTCAAGTTCAATACGTATGCTATGCATATATGACCATATATAAGGGTCATCATCCAGGTTTAATGGGACCCACGCTATAGAACCTTTCTGAAAATTGCTGGGCAGCGAGAGAGATTTCCACTTTTTACCACATATATTTCCCTGTTTTATTAGGGTTTTCTGTTTTGTCAACTGGCATGCTTTTACATATTTCCTGTATCGAGCAAGTATTCAGCAAAAAGCAAAGTATGTAATTCTCATTTCCAAGAAGGTAATTTGTTCTAAAGAAGGATTCCACTTCTGAAGGACGGGCCCTTCAGGGTTTTCTGAAAGGCACATGTCTCTACTTCTGAAGCCTAGAGTTTCTCAAAAGATGTGTACCCGTGGAAAACGAATGCCACAATCTCACAGCCAGACTAATTGATGTTTCAGATGGTGTGGAGGAGATAGATTGATGAACCCCCAATTTTTTTTCAAATGAAAACAACAGAGAGGAATCCTAGCCTTGTACAAATGCAAAAGGTCAAAACAATCCAATACCTTTAAAACTTGACAGTGACACTTGACAGAATTTCTAAAGCTGAAAGATTTATCATTTGCAATTCTATTACGTGGAAGATCAAAGGCTGTAATTTGGGCCTAAACTCAATCTATGATATATAGTTTTCCATGAGATATTCTATGGTTAACCAATATCCCTTCTAAAGTCTCCTTGGTTCACAGAAGTCTCTATATGTAAGTTCTCTATGTGCTTATGGTAGCTTTCAGCCTTTCATGAAGTAAGTTGAGCTCCTTTTCAACGACTATTGATTTGCTATTGTTGGCAAAACCTTATGTTCTCAGCTCTAAGACATCACTGAGACTTTGGAACTTCTTTCAGATTATACTTTTGGTTTGCAAAAAGAGGCCATTATTCCACATCGGTACCAATTATATTTCCAGTACATCCTTTTGTCCCTAATTATCTCTCTCTTACAACCTTGAAAAGGTAGATTTGTAGAAAACTCCTCCATTCTGAATGGTGCCGTTATATATATAAAACAAATTGCCTACGAAACTACAAGTACAAGCCCACATCCCGACCTTTCTGGGAACTATACCTTCCAAAAATATCAAATACAACCAGCAATTAAATGACTATCATTATCATTCACATGTAGCCCAATATTCTCAATTAGTCAAAAATAAGAACATAGAGAATAGAACCATGCTCTACAGCTAAGTTTTTCACAAACCTTCTGTTTTTGTTTGCAAATCTTATTTCTCATCCATTCTCTTTGTAAAACAATTTTGCTAGAGTTCTTATTTTATATTATTATTAGTGCAGGTAATTATATTGCTCATAATGTCAACCAATTATAAATAAGAGGGAGTAAGGCAACACATCCTCCACACAAATTATTCTCATCTTCTCTCTTTCTCTTCCTCTTTCTCAATCTTCTTCGCTCTTCTCTCTATCGCAATCTTCTTCGTATGTCAATCACGCATCAGAAGGCATATCGTTTTTCAAAAATAGTGTATCATATCGTATTGTGTATCTTCTTATGATACATCGCAATTTTATATAATTATTAAACATAGCATTTCATTAATATTCCATCTGTTATTCAAGTTCCTAACATAGTTCCCAATATCAAGTTGAAGTAAAATGGCTTGTTGCACGCAAAAGAGCTACAATTGAAGATCCTTCACAGATCCGGAGGAAGAACTTTGTAGATCCAGATGAAGAACTTCGTAGATCCAGAGCATAAACTAGAGGAAAAGCAAGAGGAAGATGAAGAAGAGGAAGAAGAAGAAGAAGAAGAAGAAACCTTCTCAGATCTAGAGGAACTTCACAGTCGCAGTTGATAACGAAGAAAGGGAGTCGATGGCGATGAAGAAGGCAGTCTCAGTTGATGGCTTCTCCTGTTCTTTCAGTGGACAGCTTCCCTTTCTGGTCTTCATCGATGAAAAAGGTAGCATTAATTTTTTTTTAAACCCTAGCCTATGAAACGACGTCATTTCAATCGTTGTAGGTATTAAAAAAGTCCCAAAAAAATAGAAAAAAAAAATTAAATAGGTTCTTCGCGTATCGGATGTATTGAACATTATATATCGTACCGTATAAAGCGTATCTTTTATTGTACAATGTTGTACAAAAACAATACAGAGACACAATTCGTATCGTCTTACTTGTATATTGTGTATCGTACAATACTAATAACTATGCTCCCAACATAATAGTATTGATTTTACTTCTTAACTTGGAATCAGAGCATTGATCCGTAACAAGATCATAAAAAATAAAAAATAAAAAAAAATAATCTGCCGCTAATGTCACTGTCAATGGTTGATGTCATGTTGAAGTCAGCCTGACGTCAACTTTCAATTGTCGGAAACCTACCTCTTGGCTCAATTTTGTGTGCTAATAAATGTGGTGATTTTTATTTCTTTTTTGAATCCATTTGAGTAGGGGTTCCTATTTTTGAATTTTCAACAATTTGTTGACTTCAGGAATTTTGTTGTGTTTGGTTTTTTCAATCCACACCAGATAGGTCCAACAAGATCTCAGGAAGTGAGATTTGTGCCGCTCAGTTATCTGTTGACTATTTTAGGTGTGATTTTGAAGATTTTTGGTGTTGGATCATTATTTATGTGGTAATTTCTTGTCAAGGCAACTTCAATCTACACCAGATAGGTGTGATTAGATCTCAAAAAGTGAGATTTGTGATGCCCAGAGGTTTGTTGTTGGTTTCGACTTTCTGTGAGTTGTTAGTGTCTGGCCAAGGAACAAAATATCGTTTTAAAACGGTCGAAACATCCGAAACGTTTCTGTTTCTAAGGAGACCGAAACGAATCAGTGATGAAATCAAAATTCTAATACTTCGAGGTGTTCCATAATGTTTCAAAATATTTTGTTATATTTCAATAAATTTGTATAATTATTTTGGAATGTTTCAAAATATTTTAGTATATTTCGACTACTGTTTTGAAAAAACAATTTTTAAAGTTTTATTTTTTTATTCTATTTTTGAAACGGGTCGAAATTTTTTCGAAACAAGTCGAAACGTTTCTATTTCTTAGGTGACAAACAATGCACCGAAACAAAATTTTGATCCTTGTGTCTGGCTATTGTTCCGGCCTTGTATAGTAGTCAAGACTACTCTAGGCTGCTCTAGTGTGTTGTAGTTTTGCCTTATTTTGGCTTTTGGATTATGGGTTCTATTTTTTGGTTGAGGATCTATGGTGGATTCACTTCGGCGCAATCCTTTGCTAATTACAGTCCTATTGTCTGTTAATATCTCATTGTGAATTGAATTTTTGAAGTCTTTGGTTCATATTTGGGCATTCTTCGTACTTTTTACATTAGTTTATATGATGTTAACCCTTGTTAACTTACTAAGTTGCTTATAGTTTCATTTTAGTATTCGACCCAATATAATTTATTATGGGTTTCTCAATGGCGACTTTGAATGGTGGTACGTGGAGGTCGTGGTAACGGTTGTGTTCAATCCTATAATGCCAATTGCGGTAATCTATGCACAAGACATAGTGAATGTGGTAGTTGTTCTGCTCATGGACATCATTCTGGATGGAAGAATACTTATTGCGGTAGTACAAGACATACCAAGAATTATGGTTGGTACAACTCTGAGAAACTAGAATTATGTTAATTGGGCTTCTAATGATGCATCGAGTTCTCCAGTACATCAAACTTCTACCAATAGTTCAGTTGCATCAACTACTGATCCTCGTGATAAGCTTGTTAGAACGTCCAGCCTAAAAATAATAGGCAATGGGTAGAGTGATCCCTCAAGTATATAAACCAATTTTAGTGGTCCTAACTATTCGATGTGGGCTACAAACTCTCTTAACACCCTCCCTCACGTGGGACCCAAGCTCAAATGTGAAATCAACAAACAAACAACTGTGCGTACCGAAAAATTCAAATGAGTAAGACTTGGTTCACGGACCATTCAAGGCACAGCTTTGATACCAGATTAGACCAAGCATATAAACCAACTGACAATAGGTGAAGTGGCCCCTCAAGCATATAAACCAACCTTGATAGTCATAATTATTTGATTTGGGATACAACTTCTCTTAAACAAATCTTACTTCTAAACTTTGTTGGTTCATCTCATAGTTATTTTCACTTTATCCACTGTTATTTGTTCCTACTATCGATCTTGCTAATGGAGGTAACTCTACATATGTAGCTACTCAACCTTTTTCATCATTTTGGATCAATAATTTAGGAGCTAGTGCTCAATTGTGTGTCTAGTATTTCTTCCAAACCAAACCAAATCAAGTCTTATGTCCCAATCATTTGAGGTCAGCTATATGAGTTCGTCTTCATATATTTTTCTTATTATTTTGTTAAATGTTAATTTAGGTCTATCCTTACTCCTAGTAGCATTAAGAGAAATTCTATCATTTTTTTTAAGCGATGCATCTATCAGCCTCCATTGAACATGACTAGTATTTCTTCCATATTCTCTAATTTTCGTTTGTCTAACCTATGTATTGTGTTACCTGATGGTTCTTTTCAACTAGTACATCGAACTGACAATCTTTGTCCTAGTCAGTCAATGTCAACCTCTAGTTTGTTTGTTCCTAATTTTTCCTTTAGTTTGTTATTTGTGAAACAATTAAGTCCTTACAATGTCCAATAACCTTTTGTCCATTTTCTTGTATTTTTTTGAACCTCGAGGCGCATAAGGTGATTGTTTTGGGTCATGTGAGCAATGGCCTTTACTACTTAGATCCTAGTGGTTATGTTCCTACTTTGAGTGTTACCGTGTCTCTTCTTCAGTGGTACTTGTGACTAGTCATACCTCCTTGTGAAACCTGGTTTGAGTTTTTTTTCAATGTTAGAACATGAGGTTTGTCAATTAGGCAAGCATCACAATAGTTCCTTTCCTCTTAGTTCTTTTAGTCGTCAGTTTAATCTCTTAATGTTGTCAATTTAGATATTTAGAGTCCTACAAGAGTCAAAAGTATTATTGATTTTTAGTATTTTATAATCTTTTTTGATGATTTCTTTTTTTTTTTTTCCTAAAGGCATTTGTTAATGATGTCGGTCGTATAACTTGGTTATTTTTTATGAAAGACTGATCTGAACTATCTAAGGACTTCACCACTTTTTATAATAAAATTCTGGTTCAGTTTGATATATATATTAAAAAATTTTGGTTTGATAATGTCATTGAGTATACTCAATCGTTTATGAAAACCTTGTGTGCTAACCATGACATTATTTATCAAACTACTTGTCCCTATACCTCCAAACAAAATAGGGTTGTCGAACGTAAACATCACCATTTGTTGGACGTTATAGGCATCTTAATATTTAACATGCATGTGCCAAAACCATATTGTACTGATGTGATTTTTACTTCAGTTTATCTTATTAATTGAATATCTTCCCATATTTTGGAAAACAAATTTCCTTTCCCGTTACTCTATCATGATAAACCACCTTTTGGTCTCACTTTTCGTATCTTCGATTGTGTTGTATTCGGCCCGCTCGGTCAACTATGTCTTTTTGAGATATTCTCATACTTATAAAGGTTATCGTTACTATGAACCAACTTCTCACTAATAATATATCGATGTGGATAATACCTTTTTTGAGTTATCTTCCTTTGTTTTTGCATCAAGACATACTTTTTCCCTATATTTAGCCTTTCTTAGTCAGGGAGAGCTCTTGTTCTCCATTGTACCAAGTTGTTTATCTTCTTCCTCCCTTGTAATTTTATACAAGTTATTTCATATGCTCCAACTCCATAATCATTGCCTGATTTTACTAAGGTCCTTCCCTATGAGCCGTCAGTTAGGTCATCCTCTTCTAACTTGTGCATTGAGAAAAAGTACTCGAAATTATAACAAGCACCCAATTTCTAATTTTGTTTCTTTGCATGATCTTTCTTCATCTTTTCATTGTTTTGCCATCAACTATGTCGTCAATGTTTGTTCCTAACTTCTTGAAACATACATTGACATTCTTAGTTGGAAACTAGCTATGAATTAGGAAATAAAAGCTCTCCATGAGAATCGGGCAAGGGACCTCACTTTTCTTCCTTCTAATAAGCAGTCTATCAGTCGTCGTTGAGTCTACACCGTGAAGTATCATCCGATGGTTCTGTTGAGCATTTAAAGGCACGATTGGTTGCCAAAAGGTACATCCAAACATATGTTGTAGACTACTATTAAGATTTTTTTCATGTTCCTCGTCTTAACTTTGTTCATGGTTTTGTAGAGTTAGTTGTAATTGGCATTTCTGTAAGATGGAGATCTACATGATGAGGCATATATGGTATAACCTCCAAGATGTGTCGTCTCAAGAAAGCATTAAATCGCCTAAAATAGTCACTGTATACTTGATTTGATACGCTTAGCACTGCAATACTTTAGTATGGGTTTAAGCACTTTACTTCAAACCATTCAATTTTTATTTGGCATTCCTTCACGGGTGTTATCATTCTAAGTATGTATGTTGATGACATTATCATTAGTGGTAATGACTCAAATAGTATTGTCCACTTCAAAATCTATTTAGGGAAAACAATGTCATACTAAGAGCTTAGGTCTCCTTTGGTACTTTTTTAGGATGGAGGTTGCTTGGTTAAAAGAAGGTATCAATTTATGCCAATTAAGGTATGTATTAGACTTATTGTCTAAAACTGGTATGCTTGGTGCACGTCCAGCTCGAGGTGCATAGGCCGGGTTACCCACGGGTCCCATTACTCGACCCAAAAAAAATAGACCCAAAATCCGATAGGCCTGATAGTTGACCCGTCCAATCTTGAGCCCAATATACTTAAAAAACGGGTTTGGGTTTGTCCCCAAACCCATTACCCGGCCCAAGAGCCCATCCGTCAAGCCTGTTCGCCAGCCAAGCGCAACTCAACTCGCCCACCCTTCATTTGAAAAAAAATTATACTTTTAAACCATTAAATTTG